TGAAGGCTACAAAAAGAAGTACATAGGGAAATGTAGATATAATGTCACGTTGGGTGACTAGAAATAGTAGCACAAACGTAATGTAATCATATATGTAATAGTAATGCAAAAAGCTAATAAAATATAGGTTACGATTTGGCATTAAAAAAAAAAAAAATAAAAAAAAAAAATAAAACTTATGTTTTCAAAAAATTTTGATCACTAAATTTTTAAATCTTTTTTATTAATATAATATTGCTATTTGTGAATAAAATAAAAAAAAAATTTAACAAATACATCCAGAATTATGTGAGATAATATGATCTGACTAATTTTTTTTTTTATTGCATTATTTATAATCACCAGTGTATTTTAAATACATTTAACACACCCTTGTTTATAATCTGGGTTTGGTCCAAGTTTTCAAAATGATGTCAAATCGGTTTATTAACATCCATGTTATAATAATGTTGTTCAAAGAATGACTTAATAATGGTTATATTTATTATAACAAGTAGAGATGTTATTGGCTCCACTTGAAGCCGACTTCAGCCGCGGCTTGATACCAGAGCCACTATCAAGCCAAGCCTTTAAAATCATGGCTTGAATCAGAGAAGTATGGCTTTCGGCTTTGGCTTTCAGCCATAACCTGTGCCAAGCTGATAAACTTTAGCCATGATTTGAAGCCGGCTTCAGACATAGCCGATTTAAGTCCTGTAGCTTCATAATAGCTTAAGCCATAGTTAGCAACGGCTCAGAAAACTAAGCCATGACTTAAACGGCTTGGCTAACTCAAGCCATGATATATTCATTGCTTGGCTGCACCATGGCTATTTATGCTATGGTTTGACTTCGGTTATGGCTTTAGTGAGCCAAGCCGAGCCATTTCAGCCGATTACATCTCTAATAACAAGGAATAGTAAGTAAGAACTACCAACGGCAAAAGAATTTTAATCAAGTATATATAAACAAATACTCAAAAAAAGTTCAAAAATTACATAATATCGTCAATTTATAATTGATTTAGTAAGTGATTTTTTTCTTCGATCCTTAAAGTAAAAAATGATTGTTAAAAGCATAAAATCAATAAAAACACTATTCTAAAAATACATGTTGATTGCCATAACCAAATTTCTATTGACAATAAATGAAAAAAGAATAAAAATTGAAATAAATTATAAAAATTAATCAAGATTTAATTTTTGATGCGCTTTTGAAAGATCATTGTTTGAATCCAGAACACAGCTACAAAAAATTATTGAAGAAAACAAATAGTAATAAATGGTTCAGTAGTATTAATAAAAACTTTATACTATTGCATAAATTGGATGATTATAATCATTTTAAAAGGCGGTGGAATATTCCAAATACTTAGCAAAACCGTAATTATAATACTTTCTGGCTACAATAAATAATACGTTGATTGAGTTATTCGAAATAAATAAAATGATTAATTTATTACTTATCGTTTATATTTTTTGTTTATATTTTTTTGATAAGTTACATGAATTTTTAATGCTCGATATATTTGTTACGTGACGTCCGAAACTTTTTTGGGTGGCGATTTTACCCCGTCTTAGAAATTGGCCCATTAATATTAATGCAGACCAGATGATATGCTAATGCAGACCAAATAATCTTATATTAAAACCCCCGCGCGTGACAATCGAGGATCGCCAGAAAAATTACTATGCAATTTTTACTGTCTCGTGATGATCTACGAAATGAGCCAATAATGAAACATGATCTAGTGTAACGTTACGCGATCAGAAAATGCAAAACAAACGTTCGTTTAGTCTAAAATCGCTTATAAATCACCTTCTGCGCATTAACAAAAAGTTTTTCTTGAACTATTTTACTATTATAACCTCTAAATTCTAATCCTAACATGGCTTTAACCCTAGCATAAACGAACTTAAAAAATTTTGCCTAACATAGCTTTAACCCTAGCATAAACGAACTTAAAGAATTTTGTCGTATCTCACGTGACAGTAAAATTTTTTTTGGCGATGCTGGGGAAGATGGTAAAATCGCGGAAATTCTACGGACAGAGCTTAGGCATATAAAATACCAGTCTAAAAAATTTCGCTGGCCAATCAAATTTCAAGATTCGGTGTAACGTGAAAAAAGGTCAAGAAACTTAAATAATCCAAAAATCGTCCGTATCTCGAAATTTTGTCCATGAAACTGCCTTCTGCGTATTAAGAAAATGTTTTCCTTGCAAGATTTTGGTATAACTATAACCCTCTAAACCTAACCTACTTGTAATACCCTACTAATAGCGAAATGTTTTTTCTTAACGAAGTTTTTTTTTTATATTAATACTATCGAGCCATTTGTTACTATTTGTTTTCAATATTTTTGTTGCTGCGTCCTGGATTCAAATAAACAATCAGTGTTATTATCTTCGGAAGAGCATTAAAAATAAAATCTACAAGATTTTCTGGTTCGATTGCATTTTCTTGTTTAGATTTTATATAATTTTATTTCGATTTCATTCTTTTTTCGTTTATTGTTAATGGAAATTAGGTACACATATTTTTAGAATAGTGTATTTATTGGATTTATTGCTTTTAACGATCGCTTTTCACTTTAAAGAATCGAAGAAAAAAAAACACCTACTAAATCAATTATGTTAATATTTTAATGATTATTATTATCATAATCTAATCATGATGAATTGACAATATCGCATGATTTCGAAACTTTTTTGGGTGGCGATTTTACCCCGGTTGCGCGTGACCCATCACTAGCTGTATAGATAGAATTACTTTACTTTTATATGTTTGCTTACGATATGATGACATATTTATGATACAGAGCAATTCTAATTTTCTAACTGATTAAACGTTCAACCTAATTTTGGTTCAATTTCATGTTGAGTCAAAAATCAAGATCAACCAAACTGGGAACACACTATTTCAAACATTTCGTAAAGGCTTGAAAGGCTTTCACTTCGCTTCCCTTAGCTCCAACAAATAAATTGAATTCAATGAAATTAGGGAGATATTTTACAGCTTTATTCATTGTCAATTGTTTGGGCTACATTTCTAGATGAAATATAATAAAATTTTAAACCGTCAGAGAAGCGATGGCCTACAACTTATATCGATTTCGATTGGTGCATCTTTCACGGATATTTTCCCAATCGAGTGATGAAATGATGAAATAAATTAATGGTAAAAATTAGCATATGTGAAAATGAAAATTAAAAGGTTAAATAACGTGAAAATATGCTACGTTTATCGTACAACCAACCAACTAACCTAGTATGCATATCGGAAGGATTGCTGCGATAACATAAAGTCGATTCTATTTTTGAGAGTAGGTGTATAGTTGGCTACTGCTTATAATATCCAGGATCTTAGCCAAGAATCCCATTTATAAAAGTGAATAATACCAGTGGGTACTGTGTGAAGAACGGGTAATATATTTGGTGATATTATCATTAACAATACGGTTGTACTCCTAGGTCTTATTCAAGAATCTTGATCACGGAGAAGTATTATTTTTAGGGCTACTGTAATCTGGTATTTTTAATCATTTGCTATCAGATATAATTAGAAAGATTTACAATAAACTTTGTTTTTTTTTATTGGACAAAGCATAATAAAATGATTTTATACAAATTAGATTTTACATTTTACATGGTAGTTTATGAGAGATCTCGAAATTGTTATAAATAATTTTTATTTATAACTCTATCCATATCAAATTATGTACAATATATATGGTGTAATTATAATTATTTAACTTACAAATTCACACTGTAAATAAAGTTATCATTGTGCTTCTTCTGGGCAGAAGTAGAAAGCAAGAGCAATGATCGCATATGATGTCTATATAAATATTGGAATTTTGAATACGTAAATCATATGGCAAATACATTAACGTTAAAGGAGCAGTAACAAAATATTTTGGAGTTAGTAGGTCATATGAACACGGATACGTATCATTTCATCGACGATCACTTCACCGAACACCCTATCACACAGCGTAATGAGTAATATTGAACAATAATTATTAATCATCAAACAATCGTTAAATATTAACCATCGCTCTGTGCGATGGGGTGTTCGGCGAAGCGATTGCCGATGAAATGATACGTATCCTATGAACACTGTCCGTAAGTAATTTCATAGACTTGAAGGAAAAATACTTACCAACAACATTGCACCTTCAAGAAAGTTCGATTGACCATCCTTTTAAAATTTAAGATATCATTACTATGATTCAATAAAAACATATCAACGATAGCAAAAATAAATTACCTGAATCAAATAATTAACAATCAAAACCGAAACCACCAAAACACAAGTTTCAAATGTCTCAAAAAATAAAGGTAGTGGTTGATTAATTATCCAACCAATCAGTATTAGGATAGGTGTCACTCCTAACGCGATTTGCATGCTTGATCCAAGAGCAACGACTTTTAGTGTAAAAATGATAGATGGTAATAAAATATGTTTGATATAATATGACTCGTCATTACATTAAAAAAAAGCAGTACTTACTGACACTAAGATCCATCTTATTTTTTAAAGCAAAAGTTACCGCGCTCACGCTTGAAAAATTAATACACAAATTAACATGAAGAAAGGGGATAAGCAGATATAAAATACAGTCAGACCTCTCTATAGTCACACTTTATATGATCACACCTCTATATAAGCACCTAAATTTTTAACCAAATTACCATAAAAAACCTCTATATAACGATAAGCACAACACAATATAAGCACATTTCAAAAAAGGTTACTATCATCCCAACTACGTGATTATAGAGAGGTTGACCGTATTATTAGAAAAAAATACGTACTTCTCAGGTGCGGTACCAACAATTGGAATCAGGACAATACCCACGAATGTAGCAGAAATGTCACAATTTTCAACCAAACCATCTATACTATCAACGAGAAATTCTGCACATACGGTAATAAGGCCGTTACAATGATCAAACTATTGGATAAAGTATTAGGATGATAAATTTTGGTTTCAAATTTATGGTGAAAAAAAATAGAAATATGACTACTTATGTGGTTATTGATACACAAAGTGTAGCTTTTGGCTCCTCTTAATCATCTTTTACATCTTCATACTTTTCAAACAAAGTGAATTATTAAATATTAGGGTTAAATTTGAAGTTATAAGATGTATCCACTTACAAGATGTTTATGACTTTTTAGTTGAAAGTAAATATACATGAAATATATAAGCAGCAAGAAAATCGCTGTCCCACGACTTAAAGCCAACACCCCCTCTGCAGCAAGCTTATCACCTTCGGTAGTGGAAGAATATGCGGCGGGAATAACCAGTGAGATCATTGTCAACGCCAAAAGAGATGCCGATGTTTGCGCTGCAGTAATATTAAATATCTGTTCTTTATACCTATGATAATATAATGAATAATTATAAAATGTAAAGCTGCATAAACGAATAAAAATAAACGTTAACATTAATTTACTTAAGGCCGCCAAGCAAAAAACAAAATCCTTGGACCTGAAATTATAACAAAATTAATGCTAACTACATATATGTAAGAAAAAATTTACTATTAATTTATACCAGGAGCAAGTTCGATAAAATCGAGCCCAAAATCACTGCTGTTTAAAAAAATTCAATTATAGCGCACTTTCGTTTTTAACGTTTTTAATGTATTAATTTACTTTTTAAATAACTATACCTTGAACAAGATAAGTGGATAATCATGTCTTCTTTTTTTATTTTAAATTGAGAAAAGAAATTCAAAATATAATAGTATATTTTCTAATAAGATGTTTGCATAACATATATATAATTATCTTTAATAAATGCAGCATATAAACAAATCCACTTATCAATATTAGTATAGTATCTTTTTTCTACACTAGCTTCCTTCTTCAAAACAGTTTTTCAATTATTTTTAAATGCACTCCATTATGATAAAAATGTGCAACTATTATTATATTTGTTCTAGTCATATATCTGATCTAAAATTAATTCTGATGTTATAATATATGTCAAATAATCCAGATAAGACCAATTAGAAGTATATTGATCATTGTATTTAAGCACATGCCAATGTGCTTCTACTATCATAGTAGTTTTTGTTAATAGTAATGCTTTAGAGTAGAATACTCAGGCAAATAATTTTCATCAACTTTCTTTATACCAATTAACCTATAAGTATTCTTACAGGTAGACAAAATTTTGATTTTTACAATATCTATATATTTCCTAAATACTATGATAATAAATTTTATTTGAAGTAAGAAATATTTTTTTATTTACTAGAATAAAAGGATGCAATAGTACATGTTTCTTGATTATTCCTAAAACTTCTTTTATATTTTCATTAAAACATATAAGACTTTCTTGCTCATTTGATATTCAAAATTTATCAATAAAGAAAAATTTTTTTTTAGCATTATATGCTAAAAAATTAAAATTAAAATTAAAAGACATTATATAATTAAAACAGTTTAAAAAAAAAGATTAAAGAACAGAAAAATTTTAAACATATTTAAACTTTTCCTGTGCTTTAATCTTAATTAAAAATATTTTTTAATACTTACCTATTTGTGATGTATATTAACTAGTTTTATATTTTTTTTCTTTTAGTTTTCATTTAATGACATGTTCTATATACTATAAACAAAGCTAGATTTTTGTTGACCAAGTTGCTTCTAAAGCAAATATTTTACCAGAATCCTTTCAATAAAAAAAAGCACAGCTGTATACCTTTAGCTTTTAGTAAAGAAAAAAATTCTTTTAAGACTAACACTCATAAATAAATTTTATTTTGTAGGTTCTGAAGTTGTTCTATTGGTACTGTTAAGATATAAATATACAAGTATGCAAGAAGAACTCCATATCTATCATAATTGTTTAAAACAGCAAAGAGCTTAAACTTTTTTTAATTAGTTTTTTAAATGTCAAGTTAATAATGATTTTGGTAATTTTATTTTTTGGTATATATTGCATAAAAGGTGTAATAAATTCAAAACATCAAATAAAATCATTTTTAATATATAATAGAATCTTATATTCTTGATTGTTAAGTTCATTTTGTTTTAAAAAATTGTATACTAAAAAAAATTAATTTAATATATTAGTAATATATTTTTGAGCAAAAAAGTTTGAAACCTAATAGTAAACCTACACAAATAATATGAATAACTAATTAGAGTACTGGTATTTGAATTTTTTGCTAGAAAAATAACTCTTTGAAGCTATGTTAATTTTACAAACTAATTTAAATTTATTAATTATCTAATAATCTAATTTAAATTCACTAACTATTCAATAATCAGTGAAGTGAATAGGTTGACAACCTCCAAGTGGCAGGTCTAGAGTTCAAATTCCAGTGATGATAAAAATTTGCAATTCTTTCTGTATTATGGCTAACTGTTTTCTGTAATTAGTTGGGATAAGATACCTGTAACCTGTGTCATATCAGCATGACTGAAAGGTCTAGGCACTTGTACAACATTGTACAAGAAAACACAAACTGGTACCAGGCAGTGTGAATTCAAGATAAGTTCTTAGACTGTATAAATTACAGGAACCAGGTAGGAAGACAGAAGTCTACTTGGAAAACCCAAATAGAAAAGTAATTCAAACTTTCAATAATGCTACTGTAAAGACTAAACTTATGAAACAGAGCTAAAACTTGTGAAACTGAGTAAATGTGTTAGCCTTTGAAGAGGGACTGGATGAACCAACTAGGACATTGAAATTTCTGGGTTCTGGAAAAAAAAAGTACATGTTGGCAAACATGTAAACCAGAGGTATATAGTTTTGATCTACTTTTTTGGACTATCTGAAATAATAGCTTGGTAGAACTTGAATTGAATACCAAAGTAATAAGAATATATTGTAAAGTTAGTACTGAAGTTGAAGTGAACTCTACAAGAGCATAGTGGTTTAATGATATATCCTGATTACCAGTATTGGTCTCAGCTATAGTGATACTGGATCAGCTGTAAGAATGGGATACAGAAGATTCTGAAAGATTTAGTACAAGATCAAAGATTCCCTATATAAGTAAACTGCTTTAAAGACTTAGTAGTTATAGTATATTTTCATCAGCATTGGCCAGGATCATTGGTAGGCAGAAGTAGGTGAATAGATATAGAAACTTAGTAGTTAAATAGGGAACCTACAAGCAGGTTCCAGATATGGCAGTTAGTGTAGAATCTTTGAGCGAACTACTTAAATTAGACAATATCTAAAGTTGTATAAGTAGCTAGTTGTATACTTTTCTTATAGTTACCTTCTGTGGTTGTAATGCAACCATTAGCCAAATATATTATCAATAAAATCCTGAGTCACAAGTACTTATCTTAATATTTAAAAAAAAAAAAAAACTATCCAATAATCTAATTAAACAAACTCTTTTTATTTTATAAAGCTTATAAAATAAAAAAAAATTGTTTGAATTAGATTATTAGATAATTAGTAAATTTAATTTAATTTACAAAATTAATATTTTTCAGAGTATTATTTTTTTAATAAACTATTCAATAATAGTTTAATATACAATATTTGCTAATAAGTATATATATTTGGATTAATAAGTCTTTCTTTATAGAGCATTCTGTAAAGCTTTATTTTTAGTGATTTTGATTTATGTTTTAGGATATTCAAGCAATAGCATTTTATGATAGCTTATTTTTATAATAAGTTGAATAACTATGAGCTATTAAATGTTTAATTTGTATTAATACTTGATATTTATTGATATCAACATTAATTTTAATATTTTTACTATATTGATATTGTTTGATTAAAGGTCTTGCTTCACTAATTTTCTTTATTATATAACTATCAGAGTGTATATATTTCTAATTTTTTTTTGTACATAACTAAGATATATCATTGCTTCTTTAACTAATTAATTATTTTTTTTATTAACATAGATTTTTTTTAATTTCTAATAATAACAGAACCCAGATTTGATAGGTATAAGAAGAAATTTAGCTATATTATGATAAATCTTTTCTTTATTATTTTTTTGGTTTTGCTTAATATATAATTAATTAACTTATCATGAAATTTAAAGGTTTTTAAAAAGTTTACATAACCATTTTCATCAATATTTTTAAAACAGTTAGATACTAAATTTTTTAAGTCTCTTAAATTAAACTAGATTCTGTCTTTATTATTAATAATTATTGTTTTTAAATAATTATTCTTAGTTATATTTTGATTTTTTATATAATCCATATTATAACTAATAGCTTTAGATTTTTTTTAGATTGTGCAGACATTACATATAGAAAATATTTTCATTTTACTTCTACTTTGATAAGTAAAATCAATAGAGTCTTTGAGTGCTCTATAATAAGAGTATTAGTCTAATAAAGCTATGATATTTTAAATCCAAAAATATTTATTAATAGTATAATGAAACAATAGTAGATAATTATAAATTAAAAGCAACAAGATCAAAATAACAGAAGTGTAATAAGATTAAGAATAACAATTATTTCAAAAATTCAAAGTAATGTAATATATATAAAAAAATTTAAATAAAACATTAAATTTTTTTGATATTATTATATCTTTAATTCTTATTTTATATTTAAAAAAACTATGCATATATTTAATTTAATGATTTATTATAGTTGCATTTAGTTTTGTAAATTATACAAAATATTTAATTTTGAATAAATTTATTAATTTTAATATTGATGTCTTATTATTTTAAATTTATAATTTAATAAATTATATATTATTATTATATTTAATTGTTAATTATAAGATTAAATATTTCAAAAAAAAATTTTAATCTCTAATTTAATTCGAAAATAGATTTTATATTATTTTTGAAAACTATAAATATATGGATTTTAAAAAATGATGCATCATGCACTATGGTGCATCCCTTTATATAATGCCAAGTATAATCACATGATTATACTTGTAATGACAATTGTTATACAATATCTAATTAAACGCAATGTGTAACATAGGATCGATTCTCTGCTTATGTGATATTCTGAAGTAAATTAGCCAATTAAAAATCAGAATCAGATGTAATATAAAGAAATCCAAGCAATTTATTGATATTGGAAAGTCACATGAGCAAAAAATCGATTCTCTTTTATAGGTGTCAATATGCATTTGTAATACCTACATTACAATTAGAATGATCCATATAGTCAAGTGGCTAATAAACCTGTATATTTGTAATACCTAAGTTACAATTATAACCTATATAGTTAAGTGACTAATAAACCTGTGAATTATATACTATACATACTACCCTAACTCTAACTCTAGCTTTAAAAAAAAGGACTTTCTTAGCGATCACACTTTGTATATTTATAAATTCGTAGTAGAACCTATCATTCATACTATATATTATACTACCTTAACCCTAATCCTAACTTTAAAAAAAGAACTTTTTAGCACTTATACTAATCCTAACCTTAAAAAAAATACACACATTCAGTTAAGCTTTTATTAAATGCTTTATCGCTATGAAGTTTTTACATTTTCACTTTGGCATTACTTATATATAGACAATATTGTTAACTAAGCTGATTTTTAATAAATTTAGGTCAACTTCAAGTAGTTTATTGTTCATTATACATTAGCAACAGATATGAAATGATAATGTCATATTATATGCAATAAGACTAACAATACTGATACATAGTAATATAGTTACCAAAAACTATAAAGATGCTGAAATATATGTAATAAAGAAAGCCACATGTCTATCACTATGTAATAGACCTTTACTTTTTATTTAATAAAGAAGCACATAAGTGAATTAAAGCAAATAATAATGTAATTAACATGTATAAACTTACATCACTATAAGCATATATGCAAGCATTTACAATTTCTATCAATACAAACTTATATTGTTTACAACTCTGCATATTTACTTTATGGATTATTAAAAACAAACTTACTTTGCTCACAACTCTGCATATTTACTTTATGATTTATTCAGACAAGTTGCAATATTATGGCCTGACTCTTTGCAAAATCTACAAGTATACTGCTCATGTTTTTTTTTACTTGTTTCTTGTAATGTCATATTCGTAATATTCTTATTATAATGACTTGCAGCTTTTGGTCTTCCTCTACCAACTACTTTCTGAGGATTCTCAAGTTGGATCATACTATCTTCTGTACTTTCAGCAACATTTTGACTAGTTAAGGCCACTATTTCTTCTTGTGATCTAACTAATTCTTCCTCTTTAATGTAAATCTTATTTAAATAATTCTTAATTAACAGAATAAACTTATTATCATGATGTAATATGTATTTGTTTATAGCAGTACATGCAAGACCCCAAGCTTTTCCATAAAAAAGCATTTCATCAATAAAATCAACATTAGTAATTTCTTCTGTTTCACTATTATCAAACAGTTGTAACCATATATGCTGATTCTTATTGCTTATGATTATATCTGTATCAGTAGTTTTATTCTTAATATTACTGAAATACTGTCCAAAGTGTATACATTCCTTCTCTGCATCTAATCATTAAGATTTAGGAATCCAACATGACACAATTAATTGCAAACTAAATTGTGTCTTAGCAGTAATATTTAGGAGATAGTAAAAATGATGACACACAAGCCCTTTACTTTGTTGCAAGAGACAGGTACAGCTATATAAGCTATCTGAAAAAAGAAATATAAAATGGTTAACTCCTTGACTTGTAACCCTTGAGATTTTTCAAATCTCTACAATCGAGGTTCATTCTAAATGTTCTAAAAGATATATAGCATACTAAACAATAGCATTAGACTTATCATCTATATCTTTGCTTTGTGAAGATTCGTAAGAGGTAAGTGATTCAATTTCTTCAACTGTAGCACAACTAGTAGTGTAATATAAGCTTTTCTTCATTTGTTCAACTAAAAAGTTTGCAACATTTAGTCTCAGGTAACATTTAGCTAAAGATTCAATAGAAAGAAAAATAGTAGTTGTATTTGTCATAGAAGGAACACCTTTTTTCTATTCCTCAAATTGCTTTCTTTTTTGTTTTTCTTTGCTACGTTCTATTAATACTTTACCTAATTCATATAGTAATGTATTGCTATTCTCTAATACCTACTTGATGCATGCATTCTGTCTTTCAACAAATAATATAGTTTGAATGCCAAGTGTGAATGTCATGGCAGTAAATGCATGCTTCTATGAAAAGCATCTATTATAGAGTTGATGCTCAAGATACAATTTTGTATCAGAAAAGCCTATAAGCTAGTTCCAATGGTATTCAAAGACTTGTGGAGTATCTGCATTTTAGCATTGCCAAAACTTGCAATAAAAATTATCAAATTGACTTCTAGCTTCTTTCATAATATTTTTTTGATGTTTTTCTTGATATGCCAAATGCAAAAGAGATGTTGCATTTCTTGATACTCTAAAATTACTGTGCATTCTATGACTGGATTACCATCAGTCACAAACACATGAGAACATTTATTATTTGTTGCTTTCTTGGTCATTTTAAGGACCCATTGATATGTTTCAGTTGTTTCATTGCAAACAAAAGCCTGGGCAACAATATGAGACTGCATGTTATCATCTTATACTACAAATAAAAAAAGTGGCATATTGTACCTGTTAGTACTCACGGTATTATCGTACCCAACTGCCTCATTAAATTCACATTATAACATGATTTGTTTAGGACTCATCTAGAACAAATTAATCAAAGTATTAGTTTTTTCTTTCTACATAATCTTAACAAATCAATGAGAATCTTTACGTTGTTTGGATAATAGTTGCTCATAAAACTGTGATGCATCACATTTAATTGCACTACATGATGGCTAGCACCGCTGTATCTCAACATAAAAATTCTTAGCAAATATAGGGTGAGAAGTAAACTTTATTTTTAAGATATGACGTACCATAGTTGCGCCAAGATAACATTTAGTGACAAGAAAGTTAATTTTTTCTCGCATTTCTTCTGTAAACTATTTATCTTTTTCAAACTAAATTGCTTTAGGTAATAAATTATAGTTATAATTATTATTTAGAGTAGTGACAAATATGTGAAAATCATTATTACCCTTTGAAGGATATGAAAGTTTAACATGTCACTAGCATTGTATTTGAGCTGAATTACTTGGCTTCTTAGAATTTTTTGGTTTAAATAGACCTGAATGTTTACAGAGAATTGTTCATTTATGAACTTTCTTGCTACTTTCTGTCATATCTATCATTGTTATATGCCTAAGTCATATTTTGAACCCTTTAGAATCAGAAAATCGATATATGTAAACTTTAGCTTTATCAAAGTCATCAAATGAGTCACCTTCTTTTAAAAATAATGACTCTATATTGTTAGCTATATCACTAACATCCTTATTATAAGATTCTTCAAAATACTTTGTTATATTAATGTTGTCTTCACTATGATCCAGATCCATAATTACAATTGTCATTTAGATAGCTGTCTATAAAAAAACTGATTTATAAGCACAAGGTTAGTAATATGAAAAAAACATCATAGTGACAAACTATTTGAAATTTAGACAAGTGAACCTCAAAGGATCATATTTATTGTTTAAGTGTCTGTCTATAAAAACTAATTTATAAGCACAAGATTAGGAACATGAAAAAACATTATAGTAACAAACTATTTGAAATCCAGTCAAGTGAACCTCAAAAGATTATAACCCTGACAGAATGCTAATTAATTCTGGATTATGAATGTTTAAGGTTAGTTTCAAATCCATAATATTCTTAACACATAGTATAGGTGTTCTTGTCTTAAATAGTTAAAGGATGTTACTGTTATTTATGATTTGTAGATAACAAAAGTGTCAGCATTTAATATACAACGAAGTAATTTAAATATGTGTTGTCATGTGGCAAATCAGTGAGTCTGTTGCTAATTCCTTCCAATTCTCATGTAACCTATGATGGCTAAGTCGAAATAGGTGTGTTAGATTTGGCTAGATGGTTTATTCATAGGTAAGTACTACTCTTCTCTTCTAAGTCTTTCCTTCAACCTATGCTTCTTTTAACCTTGGCCTTCTTTTATTCTCTCTTTTCTTCCTTATCTTGGAGTTACGATACATCGAATCAGAGTCAGGGTTCTTCTCTTGTGTAATGGCTTGGTCACATAACTTATAGCAAATGAACAAAATGTGGTTTAGTGTTTTACAAACAGGCAGACAATAGTGTATGATGATGGGCTTAACGATAGTTTATTAGCTTGTGTCGGGTTATAGTTTTACTTTAATATGAGGTTGAATACTTTAAGTTTATTTAAGCAAATGTATTAACTTGAGGGTATTGCTGTTACTTTCCTCTAGGTGGGAAGCCCTTTATTTATAATAAAAGTTTTATTTACATTTGGAGTTTATTTCTCCTGAATTATCTATTTACATTACATCTCTCATAAGACCCATTTTCCTTCTATAATCACAAAAACTCAAATGTTTTATATGCCATCGATTTACTCAAAGTAACCAAAATAATAAAAGTAAAAAAGTAAAATAAATCTTACTTTTCATGTGACTAATCACTCGGGTAGATGATGGGTTCCAAAAATGTGATGATCAATCATGTATTACATGTGATTGTGACAACATAATACTGATTTCGGGGCTCATAGTGTAAATAATTGAATATGTAACCAAATAGTATCAAACCCATGATATTCTTGACAGAGTATAGGTGTTCTTGTCTTAAATAGTTGAAGGAAGTTACTGTTAATCATGATCTGTCCATAACAAAATTAAGGTATGTCAGATGTATATTCATTTAACGTATAATGAAGTAAGTTAAACATGTTTAATGAATAAATAATGTGAATAATCAAATGCATAACCAATAATATACAGTATAAGATTTTTGCAATACACGATCTACATGATCAGGTGTAACACTGGACAAAAGAGTGCATCATGGTGCATGATGCACCAAAATATAAATTTCTAAATATATATATTAATTATTTAATTTGAAAATATATTTTTGAAAGCTATACATGTCTATATTAATTATTTAATTTGAAAATATATTTTATGCTATTTTTGAAAGCTATACTATGCATATTAATTATTTATTTAAGATATATTTTATACTATTTTTTAATATATAGCTATATATTAATATGTATATATTAATTTAATTTAAAAGAGAATGAGGTTCTGTAGTATTAACATTAAGAGTTTTACATATTTTTGATCATAACTTTTAATGTACTGAACCAATTTGGATGAAACAATCACCATTGGATTCAGCTTACTGAGATGATTCTAACGAGCATAAGATCATATAATTCTTATCATATAATCACAAGATTGAGATGATTTTGATAAAAAGTACTATTGTAATACATGTAACTTGATTCTGATTGGCTCAAATTACTGAGCCAAAAATCTAGTATTTCTATCATTTCTATTATTTCTAGTAGATCTATCATTTCTATTAGATCTATAATTTCTACCAGATCTATTAGTTCTATCATATCTATCATTTCTATTATATCTACTATATCTATTATATATATTATATCTATCATATCTATTAGTTTTTATTACTATAAATAGCATTTATTAACAATAGAATAGTCTTTATTGTAATAATTTATATGTGTAAAATATCTATAAAAGCACTACTTTCTGATTCTTCAAGAAAGTTAAGTGTTTTTATATATTTCATAGTTAATAAACTAAATACAATATTTAGTATCTTCATATACTATCTATTGTTGCTTTTGTTTTAAAATCCCAAATCACTCTGTATTTTGTTAAATCTTGTATAGACTTTTGTATAGAACCTGTTAAGTTATAGTCATCATACTATAGTTGAGTAGCTTCTGTTATTACTGTAGTTAAAGGAAAAACTACAAATTAACAGTAGCCTAGTAGTTTAGATGCCTCTCTTTCCACAGACAAGGTCAACAGTTTAATTCCAGCTGGAGCCAAAACTTTGTAATCTACAGAAGCATATGAATATATACAAAGCCTTGTGGCTTAAGTTTATGTGAATAGAAGATTGGTATATAAGAAGTTCCTGAAAAGAAGTTTTCTGATATAAAGAGTTGGTGCTTGATACAAAAGAAGCAGTGAACATACCAGAAATGGAAAGAAGGTACACTAGCAAGTAATATGGTGAATATAAAAGAAAACTATAGAAAAGAAATAAACTTACTAAAACACCTTTAGCACCAAAACTAGTTTAGTGAATATAAAATACACTAATATAAATAAAATTTAAGAAGGTAATCTTGGTATCATACTTAGTAAGTTTGTGTTGAAAGTAAATTTGAAGGACTATGGATACTCAGTAACATCCAATAAGATGGTACCTTAATATAAATAATAATTAAATAGCCCTAACCTGATATGTCTATGTGATAATAGAAGGTTGTAATGCATAGGATTAAAAATTAAAAAGTTTAAATAGGAGATTCACAGGTGGATCTCAAATATAGTAGCTAGTGGATAACCTTAGGCAGAACCCTTAATTAGATAATGACTAATGTTATACATATGGCTATTTATACTTTCATTAATAAACTTTGTATTAATTAATAATCAAATATTACTTAATAAAAGACAAGCAGATAGCAATAATACACTTACAGATATTTGCAAAAAGCATATATATTTATACTATAAATTAAATTAACTATAAAAATATACAAAAAAGTTATATAGTAGTTGCAAACTAATAATTTAAAACTTGATAAATCCAGTTATACAATTTATACCAATATATAAAAAGCTATATATTGTTATAGAATAGATTTCTATTATTGTATTATTTATTAGTTATAGTTGCTTTAATGCTTTAAAACATTTAATGCCTT